AGTTAAAAAATGGAAGAGAAAATAAAATACATGCATTGATATTTCATCAGATTAATATTTTCTCTTCATCACCCGCATGTACTCAGTACAGCCATCCAAGCATCATTATTTACACTAACTGCTTAAGCTAATATCACGTAACACTATACACTCTTTAATTAGAAGAATTTCATATAATTTAAAAAACTTATGCTTAAAAGTTGGCAAAAAATAATGAATAATAACGTTCCGCCCTTATGATTCTTTTGAAAACTTGAGCTAGAAACTGCTAATATAGTTTTTGTACGACCAATACTTTGTATATCTGCATGTTCTTTCTCCCTATAGTTTTGCTGCTCTAAATCAGCCATATTTAATTCAAATGAAAAAAAAATCGAAAGGTCCACCTTTCGAAAGTGCTCGGTTATGGGTTTTTGTTTATAACCATGAGTTTATTGGAATAGGTTAGATGTACCTTTTGTCAAAAGAAAAGAATCAACACTCCTGTCAAAACAAAACAATAGTTACCATGGGTTCATTGTAATAGATCAGCTGTATCTCCTATCAAAAGAAAATAACAGTAATCATGTGTTCTTGCAAACAGTTCAGCTATATCCCCTGTCAAAGAGAGCAATCAACGATGGTAACCTTCAAGTCAAATATTTATGTTTCTAAAAATTATTTTAAACTGGTCAGTTTCTGCCTCATAACATTTCACTCACCTTCTAAAGCATCGAGAAGAATAGAAAAATCTTCATCATCTGAAACAAGTATCAAAATATTACAATTACACGTTTTTCAAGATTTATTAATTAAAAAAGCCAAAAAATTATCATTAGAGTTACTACCAAAGATATTCTCAGAAGAAGATAACTCTATAAAATAAATAAAAAATGGATATGAATAAAAACCCTATAACCCGAGCACTTGAAAGAAGACAATCAATGACTATTCAAATGAATCAATGTTTACTGTTGTTTTATTTTGACAGGAGATACATCTAAACTATTCCAATGAACCCATGGTTACTATTGGTTTCTATTAACCCTATAATTACGGGCATCCCTGTACTATGCATGTCACGAGATTTTACTTCGTTACATTCAAAATATAATTAAACAATCTTAATATCCATGTATACCAAGGACATTAGCATTAAAATTTACATTATAGTTCAAAGTTTTATATTATCCAAATTCTAATTCCTTTATTTCAAAAGAAACATTCTTAAACTTCAGTTTGCACAAGTTCACAAGATTTTAACTTTTCTTTTCGTCTCTGTAACTTAAATAGTTTGTCCTGTACACTATACTTCTACATATAAATAGAAACTAGGTTAATTGCTCTGTTTACTGATACTTCTTTCAAGCTCCTTAGGAGCAAGTTCGGCGAAAAGAAAATAAATTTTTGAAACTCTTGACAGATGCCTTGCCCACTCTCTACACATACAGTTGTGGTTTCTTAGTTGAGCTAGATGTTTGTAACCAATAGGAAGCCACATTTTGAAATACTATTTTCCAACAGTTTTTAAAATTGGTTTGAGAGAATTCCATAGAAAATTTGTCAAATGCTCTTAACATTGTTGCTGCTCGTGACCTCGCTAGCAATTCAGCATTATTTCTCACCTATAAATATGTTAATTAGATTGACAATTAAATTTTATTTAGGTTTTAGTTTATACTTTAGTTAATTATATGTTATTTATGTTTTAAAGTATAAGCCAAACTACCTCTGTTTATCAGGCTTAGTGTAGAAGGTCGCCCCTACATTCTCATGACTGCTAAAGTTTTGCTGCGGCACCTAGAGAAGGCCTATTGACGTGTGTCGAGATAAGTAATAATGTTAAAGGATAGAAAAGGAAAATAAAACATCAAAGATAAACTTTTTGTGAAAAAGTAAAAACTTACAATTAAGAATATAAACTAAGAAGATTTTCAAGATAATTTGATGAAAAATTAAAAGGTAAGTACATTTTTTCTATTTTTAATTTTAAACAATTCACTGCACAATACAATGAGGATGATACTCGAAATATTCAGAGTCTGAGTGCAAATAACTACAATACAAAAAATAACAAATCTTCAATTAAAATACTTAACCCTATTGACACGGAATCCCTTTTAAATACTTTTCTGTGCAAGTCACTGTGTTACATTTAAAATTTAATTAAACAACTTTAATATCAATGTATGTGAATAAAATTAATAATTTAATGTGTTATGATTTGAAGTTTTGTTTAAGTCCTTTATTTTAAAATAAACCTTTAAAACTATTTAAAACTTCAAATGTATTGTGAAAAACGAGCTATGAAAATTCTCTACTTCGGCTCTCTCTATCTTCAATAATACGATGGTAGTTAAGTAGAGGCACAGCTAGACAATAAAATGCTTACATACCTTTTGACTCGTTCATTTCAAAATTCTCTGAATGAATACACTTGAAACAAGTAATAAATTTTTCAACTCCTGACAGCTGCCATGTCTACCTTCAATAGATTTGTTTAAGTTTTATAGTCTACGTGTTGATGTGTACATAACGTGTATAGTCATTAGAAAGAGATCATTTTACACTATAATGTAGGAATGGTTATTTTGATATTGGTTCACATTTGTCATCATGGATTATATGAAACTGACTATAGTATTGTTGGCTGCTTGATCGACTACAGCACTTATAGTTGTTTCTTACCTAAATATGTTAGTTAGAGATACAGTATTTAGGTCTTACTATTATATTTTACCTAATTATGTATTAGTTGTGTTTTAAAATGCATAATGAAAAGGTTTAAACATTTTTTAAATATACATCATACTTTGCTTCCATTCTCTAGGCTTACGATATTATGTGCTGAACAAAAATTTTGCCAAAGGGTTGCACCTGTCTCCCAAAGAAACTGTAATATGCCTCTGTCATGATTAAAAAAACTGTTTAGTTTAGCTGTTATTGATTAATTGATTTTTGTGAGTGAATATTTTATTACTGTTTAGTTTTCTTTATAATAAGAGTTAAAAGCAGATGATTTTTGGAAGTTGTGTTTACAGTTAATTAATGATGAGATTATCAAACATTGCGGGCAATACACTGACATTGAGAATATAGAGATTTCTAGAAGATAGGCAGATGATTAAATGATAAATATATAAATAGTGTGAGATGAGTAGAAATATCAGAAGAGAATAAAGTTATGGGCAAGGAAAAGTTCAGCATGAAGTTATGTACCGTAGTAGTGATAGGCCTATGATAATCATTAGGCCTATCACTTCTACGGTACATAACTTCACGCTGATTTAATATGGTAGAGTAAGATTAAAAGAAGAAGAATTTATTCCGTCAAAGTGTGGTTCTAAAGTAATTGAATCAGCCTGGGTATACTTTGACAAAAGGAATAGAGGATATTTTGAAGAAAGTAGACCAAACGATTACGATAACTGGTGCCTTAATTGTAAGTGAATCACACACAGAATACTAGTGCAATAGTAATAGAGAAGATAGTTTGGCCTTTCAACTGAAATTCTAAAGCAATTGAATAGGCCTAAGTGGACATTTGACAAGAAGAAGAGAACTATATATATAGTGTTTATGATATCCCTATAATCTCTATAGTGAGAAGAATTTGTTGTACATACATTTAACTTGTTCCAAATATATATATATATTATTTTGAAAACAAGTGAAGTGTGTGCTGTTCATTTAGTGTTGAATTTATTGCCAAAAGTCACAGACACCTACTGTAGAAGAATCTTAACCCAACAACAACATAGTATATATTTATACTACTAAGAAATATAAGTAAAAGCCTTTTATTTTGACAACTGGCAAAAGTATTATATTTTATATTCTGACAGCCTCGAGGGCACCATTGACTTGTGTCAAGATGAATAAGTGGTAAAGGACAAGAAAGGAAAATAAAACATTAAAAATTAACTATATATATGAAAAGAAAAATACCTGAAATTAAGAATTTAACTAAAGGAAAATCTTTAAAATATTCTACAAAAAATTACATCAAAAGTTTTTTTAAAGTAAATGTTTAATTTTATTTTTTCAACCATATCACCAACTCTAGCTATTATCACCAACATACAATGCAATGAAATAATCAAAATTAGGAAGTACAAAAAGTGCATATCTTTGCTTTTTAGGAGGTTCTAGAGATTATGCAAATGAAATATAAAACTACAAGTTGAAGAAAGATATTTTTATGCTTAAAATTAAAATCACCTAGCACTTGATTCGTTAATAGTTTGAACACAAGCAACTACAATAGAAAAATAACATATCTTTAGTAAAAACACTTAATTATAAAACCATCATTATTCGTGTACAAAATATTTGTAATCTTTAACAAAATCTTACCAATTGTTGTGAAGATATATTAAGAAAGCTCAGAGTTGTTGTAAGTATCATTGAACTGTGTATCATTCGCCATATACCAAGTATACCAGATGGGTTCAAACTGTAACCATAGAGTTAATGAGGTATGCTTTTAAAATATTACAGTGAGCCCATAGTTAATATTGTTGAATGTTTTCTTTTGACAGGAGATACATCTAAACTGTTTCAATCAACCCATGGTTATTGTTGTTGATTGTTCTCCTCTGATAGGAGATAGAGCTGAAGTGTTCAGTTTAGTGAAAATTTGGGTATTACATGAAACTTTTATCGAATTTTTAGAAATGAAATTATGTTTAGTTTAATCATTTTTTCCTAACAACAATAATACAAAAGCCAGCATTAGAGAACTGAGAGAGTTAAAAGCTAATGTTAAAATACGTAATTGAAGAATTAAATGTTTTGTAAAAATCGGAAAAATTTGGGTAATGGAAATCCCGTGGATTTACTGGACTCTTCTTGCATTACACACTTATATAATTTAAAGCAAAAACATCTTCGTTTTTTATAAGTTCTTGTTTAAATGAGACAGATGCAATACTTTACTATCTCAACAACATTTAATAATAGAAATCATTATATTTACCTTGCCAACAAATAGAACTATAAAGCTACATTTTACCATGTCAACAAAATGTAATAATAGAACCATACAAAGTATTATATTGTGAAGAATGATAACTTCTTGTTTTGTTTTTATAGATTATGAAATTAAGGCAGGAAAAGGCGAAAAGTTACTTCCAAAACTTGTCTGTGTAGTAACAGGTTAGTCAAATCCATTTGATTTTAGAAAATGTAATTGTGAAATTTAATTAGCATTAAATGATTTTTTTTTTTAAATAAAAGTTTTCATTGATCATATTAGAAGCCAATGATCTTTGTTTATAAGCAATTAATGATCTTTGTTTATATAAACGTCCTCTGAGATATTATTAGTAGGCAATTGTTTAAATACAGGATATCTAGGATCTTATTAACAACCAGATATCTTTGTTTAGATAAAGGATACCTGCAATAATAATAGCTATCAGTGATTTTTGTTTAGATAAAGGTTCTCCTAGATAATATTACCAGTCAGTGATCTTTGTTTAGAAAAAATTTGCTCTTTGATCATATCAGCATTTGCTGTTTTTGGTTTAGATTAATATTTAATGAGGAATGATTTACTTTTAATATATCTAGGTAAAGGTCCACTGAGGTCGTATTACCAGTCCTTAATTAAAGCAAAGAACTTCGTGTTTGTTGAATTTGTCACTCTTTGGTTGTCAGCTGAGGAGTATCCAGTACTTTTGGGTAACTGTGTTATTCTACTTTGTGTTGCCATTGTTTGTAGAGATTTACATTATAGTATATTGGAAATAACCCTCTTTCCACAGGAATCTTTTTCTGTGCATGTCGCAAGGTTTTAATGAGTTACATTCAAAATCTAATTAAACTACTTTCTTTTCATGATATACCAATAAATATAGCTTAAGAAAGTAGCTAATAATTCATATTTTAATAGTATATAAATTTTAAGTTCTTAATTTTATGATACAATATTTAAAAAATATCCTATTATGAGAACTGTGATATTTCATCTCTAGGCATCCTCTCTTCTCTAATTTATATACTACCCCTCCAAGAAGTAAAAATATAACTTAAATCACTCATTATAATGTTGTCATTGCTCAGGAAAAATCATAATTTTTATAGCCATCAATCTTATTTGGTTACAGAGCCATCAAATTGAAAACCAGACCCCTTCTGCTACACCCACCTGTCACATCCTCTATTTCAGAGACTGTCAATAGTTCTCTCAGACATTCAATAATATATTGTTTATAACCAAGAGAAAGCCAAGGTTTTACTCTATCATATAATGTATTATATTGTTTTCTGCACAGAGAATTGTCAGTTTTGCTTATCGATGAGCTTAGATGAATTTTTAACAGCTCTTGTCACATAGTTAGAAAGCCAGAAAAATTGTGATAGTTATGGGACATTGCCTACTTTTTGCTTGTTATTATTCTGTGTTCTTTGGTGCATTATTTAATTAAATGAAAAATTATTTAGTGCAATATTGCCATTAGTATGAAAAAGTAAAGTTGAATGTCATCAACAGTTGACAGCAAAAAGAAAGAAGACCCAGGAAAGTACATTATTTCTTATTTTTCATTTATAATCTTTATTTATCATTATAACATTAACTTAACTGTACAAATATGATCGTTTTAGGTTAGTTAAGGTTAGATTAGTTAAAATATAAATAATTATAATAAAAAAATTTTCATGAGGTATGTTTGCAAGTATCTTATGCATAATGTAAATTGATAGTATAATGTGAGCTGCACGCCCACCAGCTGATTTATGATTTATAATGGTGTGAAAAGTAGTTATACATGGTTTAATGGACAATAAAATTTAAGTATAAACAAATGTATACTGTTATGAGTTTAAAGCTATATAGGATGAAAAAATGTAGTTTCATGTTACAATTTGAAGTCATTCTAGAAAGAAGAAAAGGATAATTTAGAGTTACTTCTATATTGTTTGTTGGTTACAAGTTCAATCAGATTGACCAACCTTGTATAGAGTTAAGATAGTGAAAAGAATAGATAAAGTGTAAAGTTTTACTGAAAAAAAAAGATTGGAATTTATTTAGGAAGTTTTAGAGATTAGACAAATGAAGTTTGAGATTTTTGAGATGAAGAAAAGTATTTTTATTCTTAACGTGGAAATCACCATGCACTCGGACAGGTCTCAATCTTACCATCATCTTTTCAAAGTTTCAAGTAACTTTACACATGTACTAAGCAAAGATATTTCATTAAAAAACTGATTTTTTTTATGTATAAAAGACTTGCATTGTTTACTAAAGTCTAAAAGTCTGCCAAATTATGTGAAGATACACATACTATAGCTGTGGTATGGAAACTATAATGAGTACAGAATGGTTACGAAGTTGGTCAAATTGACCGATCTTGTAGTGAGAGGGTTTACTGAAATTCATATTGTTACAGATAGCTCACATAGTTAGATTATGTTTTTTGTTGGACCAGGGTTTTTGAAACAGAAATCTGCTCTGACATAAGTATCACCTCTTTTGTGATGACCTACAATTATCATGACAGGAATTTAACCTAACATAAATGTCATACATTTTGTATTGATTTAGGATTAATGTAATATAAATCTTGACTCGTGTAATTACCTTAGTGTCTTACTTTGTGTACTAACTTAGAATTATTGGGGAAAAAATCTGAACTAACATAAGTATCTAACATTATGTACTGACTTAACATTATTTTGCCATAAGTCAGAACCAGAGGTGGAAACTTGAGACCAGTCTCAAGAGAAAATTATGAGATCTTGGTCTTGACTGCTAAGGTCTCAATCTCAACATCATCTTTTCAAAGTTTCAAGTAACTTCACATGCTTATTTTGTTTTGTGAAAACAATCAGTCTTATGGCTGAATGATTTATCTTATGGGTAGTATTCTGGATCCAAACTATGGTTGTGTTTGGTTGTAAGATGATCATTCAGGATCAAAGAAGTGAAATTGCCTTAAAGAATATTGATATTACCTTGAAAGAAGAAGATAATCTTTCTGATGCAGAACCAGTTAAAAGGGTAGCCAGCAGCACTGTTGTATGACAGTCTGATCAAAGTGAACATACCCAGCTTCCACAGAAAGGCACTCTTTGAGTTCTTTATGCATCACATGCAAAGCATTGATGACATTATTCCATTCTCTTGTTTTATAGACTTCCATCATTATTAGGAGAACAAAATCTTTGGAGAAATTTAAAAGAAAATTCGCTCTCTTCTAAATGTTGTCCACTGTACCAGAAAATATTCTGCATTCCTTCAACATAAGTAGAAAGGGCCTTCAACCATGATGGGGGAGCTGTTTATAAGACCACAATGAGCAAAAAAATGTCACCTGAACTTGTCTTGTGTTTAGTATTTTTAAGATGTAACAACCACCTGCAAAGGCAACTCTCAAATTTGATAACGTGCAAACAAATAAAAAAAGAGTGTTAATGCTTTAAATTGCATGGTGTAAGTCAATATTTATTTGACATGTATACCATATTTAATTATTCATTATTGATAATTAACATTTAACAACAATTCAATAAGAATAAGAATCTTGTCTTTAGCAAATGTTTGTTGTCCATTGATCTACAGTCACCTGTTAGTGTTGAAATTAACTTTGCTTTAAATTATCCAAATAGAAATATATGAATTTGACACCCACATCAAAAATTATATTTAATTCTTGCTAAGTATCAACTGAATGGCCATTAAAAATATAATTCTTTTCCAGTTTCATTTAAATTATATTTTCTTATTTAAACATAATTGAAAATGGGTTTCATTGTTGTTAAATATCCACTGAATGTCAATAACGATTATTTAAATGCAAAATGCACATGTGTAATTCCATGTCAATTAAATATCTATGCCATACAATTTAAAGCATTGCCAAAATAATTTTTTAACATTTCTTTGTGGTGTGTATTCCTAAGTAGACTGAGTAGAATGATAAAAAAAAAGCTATACCAATTCTTGAAGTTCTTGTTTTTGATGTTTATATGGTTAATTATTTATAGTGGGCAACTTAGAACCATGTATACTAACTGATAGATATATTTATGACAGAAAATGGTTGTTTCATAACCAGCATGAGAGGCTTTATTGGGTATTAGTCTTGCAAGTAAAATATTAATTATACATGCTATTCTAAATTTTAGTCTTGGTCTTGACATTTCAGGTCAGGTCTTGGCATGTCAAGGTTTTGGGTTTGGTCTTGACATCATCTCTAGTCTAAACTAACATAACTGCCTAAGTATCGTACATTTTGTACTGAATTAGGATTATTGTGATATAAAACTGAACTAATTTAAATACCTAAGTATGTTACATCCATATAAATATAATAGTACTGTCTATTGTTTGTCCATTTAACTACTTTGCAGGATGTGTTCATTAGGTCCATGTGGAGGTACATGGACGTTTTGGCATTTTCTACCACGATTTTGCCTCCTGGTGATGGATATTCACCAAATTTGGCATGAAGGTTTGTTGGGTCCATGTGGAGGTACATACAAATTTTGTGTTTTACAGTTTTTATGGACGTTTTTGCATTTTCTACCACAATTTTACCTCCTGGTGATGGATATTCACCAAATTTGGCATGAAGGTTTGTTGGGTCCATGTGGAGGTACATACAGATTTTCAGTTTTGCAGTTTTTATGGACGTTTTTGCATTTTCTACCACAATTTTACCTCCTGGTGATGGATATTCACCAAATTTGGCATAAAGGTTTGTTGGGTACATACAAATGTGGAGGTACATACAAATTTTAAAGTTTTTGCAGTTTTTATGGACGTTTTGGCATTTTCTACCACAATTTTGCCTCCTGGTGATGGATATTCACCAAATTTGGCATGAAGGTTTGTTGGGTCCATGTGGAGGTACATACAAAGTTTGTGTTTTGCATTTTTTACAGTTACTTCATGCTCTTCTAACCTGGCCACTTTAAAAGTTGTTTTAAATGACAGTCCTAAGCCTGCTATGGGGAGGTGGAGTTTTCTAATTATCTTATTCCATGTTGTTGATTGATCTAGTTACATATAAGGGAAGCAACTTTTTTAATTAGCTTCTGTACGGGGGACGGGTACTCCAGCTAGTTGTGTAATGAATTAATTAGGTAATTACACTAGTTCCTGGTTATGTCACAATGTTAGGTACTTAGATAATGATGTTATTTAAGGTTTATACCACAATAATCCTAAGTCAGTACAACTAGTAAGATACTTAGGTAATTACACTAGTTCCTGGTTATGTCACAATGTTAGGTACTTAGATAATTATGTTATTTAAGGTTTATACCACAATAATCCTAAGTCAGTACAACTAGTAAGATACTTAAGTAATTACACTAGTTCCTGGTTATGTCACAATGGTAGGTACTTAGATAATTATGTTATTTAAGGTTTATACCACAATAATCTTATTGTGACATAAATCTGAATTGATATAATTCTTTTTTCAGCTAGTGCTGACTTGGGAGTTAGCCTTCACTTCTCCTCTAGTGGATTAGACCTTCCTATGAAAGTGGTAGACATGTTTAGTTGTGGACTTCCTGTCTGTGCTCTCGCTTACAGTTGGTAAGTTCATATTTGAAGCTCAGAACTATCACATACAATTAATAGGTTTATATTGGAACTTTGATTTTCTTCTATGTTTTTAGAAAAATATCTATTCTTTAATGATACTGTTTCCTGGAACTGTTGTTTCTAACTATACATGTTTGTAAATGTTTTTATTTATCTGAAGCTTTTTTACTTTGTGAGGTAGACTGTTGATAGGTTGTTTCCTTTAGATGCATTAATAACATGTAATACAAGGATCTAATGTACACACTTGTGTCTATTGGGTACCTATAAGTCTTATGTACACACAGACTAGTGTATGTAAAGTACGTATAAGATAAGGCTGATATATCACACACACACATTAGTGTCTATTATATAGAAATATGGCAAGGTTCAAGTACCACAGACAATTATACAAACAATTCTATATCATATGTCATGTGTTAAAGAATTCCTTTAGCCTATTAATTTTATTATTGTATCAAACATTTCTATCTTGGAGTAAAGTCTTGAAGAAATTGTTTGTTAGAAGATTGATTATGGACCTCAACAGTCTTGGAAGCATTGAATCAGTGGGCAACAACATGTTGGATATGTTCTATAAACTGTTCTCAGGTGTCTCTGGATGAGAATCCATGGATGCTGAAGTTTTGGCTAATTCCCATAAACTGTCTTCAGGTTGGATACAGAATTTGTTGAAATAATGTTAACTACCTTATCTCTCATCCAGATGATTCATTACTTCCAAGACTAATGGAGTCTAAAACAATCTTCTCTCATCATATAAATACAGCCTAAGTCATCTGTAAATAGTTTAGTATTATTTGTTCATTATTATAACATTTCTCTATCCTGTTGTCAAGTCTTGAAGAACTTGTTCATCACAATGAGAATGGTCTGGTGTTTAAAGACAGCCAAGAATTGAGTCAACAGTTGCAGGTATTTGATTTGATTTTGTTGGTTTTAAACTACACATAACTGGAGTTATTTTCCATTGTTAAACCATACTTTAGACTATTTTCCCAGTATTATAACACATATAACTAGAGTATTTTACCAGTATTAAACCACACATGATGGAACATTTCCTCAGTATTAAACTACACATGCTTGGAGTATTTTTCCAGTATTAAACCACACATGACTGGTATTTGTTTCCAATATTAAATCACACATGACTGTAATATTTTTCCAGTATTAAGCCACACATGCAGGACTCCCAGATGTCCTAAAAATCCTAAAATTTATTCAGATTTCCCAAATATCCTGAAAATGGTCGCAGCACCCTAAAAATCGTAAAATAAAAACTTGATTCTAGCTTTGATATGAAACTGATTTTTTTTTACTTTTTATTAATGGAAAGAAGTAGTACATGTGTTAAATAAATATAAAAAGAACATATACAAAACTATTCAGTTTTTATTTATTTATTTAACCCTCTCGCTATGTGTCTTCCTATGGTCAGGGTTCAAAGAGCATGTCATCACATATGTAGACTTACATTCAAAATTTTATTAACTACTATTTTATGAATGTATGTCAATAAGTTTGGTATCAAAGTGTAGATTAAGAATCAAATTTTAGTATTATACATTATTTAATTTCTTAATTTAAAAGTAAATATTAAAAGCAAATGCCTAAATATCGATTTTTGCGTGTCACGTGGTATGTTGAATGCAGCTTTGGTTCAAATTAGATATTTATGATGTCCAAATACAAAGTCTAGTATCTTACAAATTAAGAACTCAAATTACCAATAATGCAAACTAGAACATAATATAAGAACCTCTTTTTCTATTTGCCGAGATATCAATGACTTTATATATTGTCATTAACCAACAGTCTTGTTTCTGACTGGAAAAATAGCATTTGCTCTAAATGTTGCCAAGTTAATAAATGATTACCATAGTTTTTAAAGGTGGTTATTTTTCTCTAAAAGTCTAATTACAAAATACTGGTCCACTAAAACAAAGCCAAGACAGGTCACTTTGTAAAGGCCAGTTTTTTACTATTGAATATGGTTACATGAGTGAATGTGTGCTGCATCATTGCAACTTCTGTATGTTAGTCAGACACAGCTGAAAGATCAATAAAATAAAAATAATAAATATATATAGATGTATGCTTTTATGAGAATTAATCTAATTTGACTAAACATTTGTAGTTTCTTGTTATAATTTGTAGCAATTCTGGAATGAAAAAAGCATAATCTACATTTATTTCCTAATTTGTTATGGTGGTTACAAGGTCGGTCAAATCAACCAAACCCATACAGAGATACAATAGTGAAAATAACAGATAAAATATAATGTTTTTCTAAACAAAAACGTTTTATAATTATCTGAAGGTTATTTGGTGGTTAAAAATATTTCACATATAAAATGTTTAACATTTTCTGATGCATAAAAGTATTTTTAATTGTAAAATCAAAATTACTATGCATGCTGGACAGTCAACATTTGAAAAGAAAAATGCACAAGCAAATATTAAACTTAATAAAAGAATCTGATATCTTGTATATGAAAGCCTGCATATGACTGAAGTATTTTTCCAGTATTAAACTAAATATAACTGGAGTAGTTTCCCAGTACTAAATTACACATGACTGGAGTAGTTTCCCAGTACTAAATTACACAGTAATTTAGTACTGGGAAACTACTACATGACTGGAGTAGTTTCCCAGTATTAAACTACATATAGCTGGAGTAGTTTCCCAGTACTAAATTACACATAACTGGAGTATTTTTCCGGTATTCAATTACATATAACTGGAGTAGTTTCCCAGTACTAAATTACACATGACTGGAGTATTTTTCCAGTATTAAACTATATATAACTGGAGTAGTTTCCCAGTACTAAATTACACATGACTGGAGTAGTTTCCCAGTACTAAATTACACATAACTGGAGTATTTTTCCAGTATTAAACTACATATAACTGGAGTAGTTTCCCAGTACTAAATTACACATAACTGGAGTATTTTTCCAGTATTAAACTACATATAACTGGAGTAGTTTCCCAGTACTAAATTACACATAACTGGAGTATTTTTCCAGTATTAAACTACATATAACTGGAGTAGTTTCCCAGTACTAAATTCATAGGTGGGTGGAGTACAGTATGAATTAAACATGTTTACATAATGTTTTTTTTGTTATCAACAGTTTACATGTTTAACATACTTAAGGTAAATCATCATAATGTCTAATGCTTGTAAATGTTTAATCAATATTGCCTTGTAGAAGAGTTGTTTATATTGTAGGCATCATATTCCCCTGTAATGCAGTATTTTGTCAAGTCTTCATTTGATGTAAAGTACATTGAAAGTATAAAAATGATATGGAAACACTTTCTGAATACTTGACAGGAAAACTATTTTATATATAATTGTATTATTAAAATTATAACATTCATATAACATGGTTTATATGAGTAATGAAAGTATAATCATTTGTAATGGTGTTAATGGAAGTTTAACAGGGCTCTTAATAGTGTTAATGGAATTATAACATGGTTTGTAACAGTAGTAATGAAAGTATAATATGGTTTATTATAGAGATTGAAAATATAATGGTTTGTATTGATGGTAATGATAGCGTAACATGGTTTGTAAGAGAGATAATTAAAGCTTAAAATGACTATTAATGGTGATAATGAAAGTATAGTATAGTTTGTAATACTATTAATGAACGTATGAAAATGTGTTATCACTAACTACAAAAGGCTTATTCTCTTTGTTACCTTGTCATGAATACTCTCACGCTCCTTTTTTTGTTAATGCTAAAAATACATTTCATCGCTTAGCAACAAAACTATCACATCCAAAATGCATGGTGTTTATGTTGAATGTTCAATATTCATATTGATTTGTTAGAAAGGTTTGTTTTTTTATTTTTTTAATTTTGTTTATAAGTTTGGTGTTATAATAGTTTAAGTTGGAAGTTTTATGACATTGAGTTGTAGCCAAAAGCAAAATAAAATTTACCAAGTAGTGTTTCAGCTCAGCTTTATGTTATGTTTATGTATTAGGCCTAATGCTTAAATTAGACTACAAATAGGCCTACTTATTAGAGTCAGTGTTTAAACGTTTTAAGTGGGGGAATAAATTTTAATTAATAAGTATTACCTACTTGGCCTTAAAACATAAAGCAAAATAAAATTTACCAAGTAGTGTTTCAGCTCAGCCTTATTTTATGTTTATGTATTAGGCCTAATGCTTAAATTAGACTACAAATAGGCCTACTTATTAGAGTCAGTGTTTAAACGTTTTAAGTGGGGAATAAATTTTAATTAATAAGTATTACCTACTTGGCCTTAAAACATAAAGCAAAATAAACCTTTGGACATTCGAGAGAGTTGAAAATTTGTGTCAGAATGTCCGCACTGTTTTCTAATTCCTGACCTAGAATACAGTGAAAAGGCTCAAGAGTGCTATTCAAGTCTCTTTCAGAGTGCACACATACTTTTGTTTGTGATAACATTTAATTTTCTGTGTAGTTTTCACTAAAAATGTGGTAATTAAAGAATTACTTTGAGACTGATGAAATAAGTGAAGAGTAGGTGCATTTTGGAGGTACAGACAAAATCGTTTTAGTTAAATTCTATAATTTTCATTAATCATTCAACAATGGTTTCCCATAATTTTTGATGTTTTTTATACTAGTGGTGTTAATAAAAGTATATCATGGTTTGTAAGAGAGGTAATGAAAGTATAACATTTTGTAAGTGGTAATGAAAGTATAACATTTTGTAAGTGGTAATGAAAGTATAACATGGTTTGTAATGGTGGTAATGCAAGTGTTACATCGTTTATAATGGTGGTAATGAAAGTAATACATGGGTTGTAATGGTGGTAATGAAAGTGTTACATGTTCTTTAATGGTGGTAATGAAAGTGTTACATGGTCTATAATGGTGGTAATGAAAGTATAACATGGTTTATAATGGTGGTAATGAAAGTATTACATGGTTTGTAATGCTGGGAAGGAATTTATAATATGATTTATAATGGTGGTAATGAAAGTATAACATGGTTTGTAATGGTGGTAATGAAAGTGTTACATGGTTTGTAAAGCTGGGAAGGAATTTATAACATGATTTATAATGGTGGTAATGAAAGTATAACATGGTTTGTAATGGTGGTAATGAAAGTGTTACATGGTTTGTAAAGCTGGGAATGAAAGTATTACATGGTTTGTAATGGTGGTAATGAAAGTATTACATGGTTTATAATGGTGGTAATGAAAGTATTACATGGTTTATAATGGTGGTAATGAATCTATTATGTGGTTTGTAATATTGGAAATGAAATTAGTATTAATTACCAATTAGAGCAAGCTGTACTTAGAGTAAAACTAAAAAAACAACCTGAGAATAAGTATACCTAATTAAATATTAGAATGCATTTTTCATCAGTCGTGTACCCTCACTCTATAAAGAGTTAGAATGGTAAGGAAAGTGTAACATGGTTTATAAAAGTATTAATAAAAGTGTAAACCATGATGTAACAGTGCTAATGAAAGTATAAAACAATAAATTAATAGAGATAATCATGGTGATGTGTGTTATTGAAAGTGTTACACTTTATAACAGTGGTTATGAAAGTGAAAAAACATGATGTAGCAGTGTCAATGAAAGTGTAAAACCATGATGTAACAGTGCTAATTGAAAGTATAAAACAATAAATTGATAGAGATAATCATGGTGATGTGTGTTATTGAAAGTGTTACACTTTATAACAGTGGTTATGAAAGTGAAAAAACATGATGTAGCAGTGTCAATGAAAGTGTAAAACCATGATGTAACAGCGTAATATAATAGTGTATGGAAGTTTGTTAAAACATTTAACTATAGATTCAGACCATAAGATTAGGCTTTTATATTGTCCACTGTGCATTTAGTTGTAGAAATAATGAAATAGGTGTGGTGAGATAGATTGTAATAGTCCAATAAAATGTAATTGATATGATAAGATTTTATTTTTTTTCCATCTAGATGCTGTTTGAAGTTTTTCCAAAACAAACAACTAAGCTTGACCAAATGCGGGAAAAATTGAAATCATTTCAACAAACAACCTGGGATCAGACTTGGGTTTGTCATGCGAAACAAACATTTCTATCGTATCATCGGTCGTGATTTTGTCGATTGGAAGATAAGATATGATTGTGTAACTTAAATAATGAAGCTTAGCTTTCCAAGCCAAGATACTGCATTATACAGTTGTTCTTATTATGATATGATTATGTGAGTTAACACAAAACATAAAGATTAGCTTTCCAAGACAAGATGCTATGTTGTGCAGTTGTTCTCATTATGATATGATTGTGTGAGTTAACACAAAATATAAAGATTAGCTTTCCAAGGCAAGATGCTATGTTGTGCAGTTGTTCTCATTATGATATGATTGTGTAATGTGAAAGAAAATATAAAGGTGTACCAGGTACAGAAGTAAACAAGATCTAGTTATGATGTTTTAACAAAGTTAAAAAAATTGTTCCAGGTTCAGAAGCCAAAAATTTGTATCGATAATTCTTTAACATAGTAATACAAGTTCTACCAGGTTTAGATTCCTACATTATGTTTTCATAACGTTTGAATACAGTAAATCAAGCTGTACCAGCTTTAGAAGCAAACAATATATATACATAATATTTTGAAATATTTAAACAAGTACCAGATTTAAAATCCAACAAGATGTATTCATAATGTTTTAAGACAGTAAAATAAGTTATACCATGTTTAGAATACAAAAATGTGCATGCATAGTGTTCTGAAATAGTTAAATGAATTGTAACAGGTTGAGACGTATTTAAGCTCAGTAAGGCAAGTCGTAATTGGCTGGTTGGTTGGACTTTTATGATGCAAAGCTTTAAGGCTGTCTGTGCCAAACAGTAGTATGAGAAAGAAAGAAAAATCACAAAGAAGCGTAAAATATGAAAATGCAGAAAATATAAAATAGACTAAAATGAATCGAGTATATGTTCCTGTTGAAAAAGGTTAAAAAAATGAAACAGAATTAAAGTGGCTGATGGTATGCAAAAAATTAAGAACGTGATCAATCTGGGCACTGTCATTATTGCCAATGACACACTCGATGTCAGGGGTAAACTCTGAGATAAAACAGGTTGAAAATGGTGCTGATGCTGGCAGTCATAGTGATGATACAAAAGTGAAACATGGACAATTGTGACTCGAGTGTCGCAAAGGACACACGTTGGCGGATCAGGCCCTCGTAAAAGAAAATGATGAGTTATGAAACTATGGCTAGTGTGTAGTCGAGACAATACAACTTCCTTCCTCAGGTTCTTATAGAAACTAGATGGGAATTCCACATGAGAGACAGGCAGGGCTTTGATAATGCCAGAACAGATGGATTTAGCTGCAGTGTCAGCAGTCTTGTTCTCACAAATACTGACGTGACAAAGAGAAGTAGGCCAGTCGTTTCCAAGCAAACCAATACATGTAGTACAATTAGTGTACTATCTAGCTTCTATGTGATCCAGTTCAAGTGAAATTTCCTACAACTCGGCTGTGAATACAGAATCTATAGCAGGGAACTTATGAGCAACCACCGAGCCAGAGTCACCAGATTTTGAACCATCCATAGAAACAGAAGAATGGTTTTGAAAGATGTTCAGCAAGCAGAAGATGTACTTCCAATTGGGAATGAAGAAAGGTCACAAGTGGGGATGGCAACAAGCCATGGTGGAATGGGATGATCATTGGACTCCAATGTCAGAACCAATTCAGTCAACTGCACATGGATACAATGGCCAAATGGAGGAATGTCAGACCATTTATTGCCAAAAAGTACAGCCCACTAAAGCATGAAGACACAATGCCAGGTGGGATGTTGTGGTAAGAATCAGAGCTTTGCAGTATATGGCAAGGAAATTTTTGAGGTGAAGCAGAGGTTCATAGGATTCAGTGTACAAACTGGACCAGAGAAATACAGAAAGCCCAAGTGCGGAGTTGAAGCCCCTGATGATGTACTGAGTCCAACATCTTCAAGGCAGAGTTCATCTTTGATCAGATGAGGGCACAATAGATCTTCAGCATAGAAGATCTATCTGCTCCCCATAAAGTGGAAGAGAGGATGTTCATTGGATGACGTTGTAACGTCGAAACATGTAGAGTCATCAACTTTTTTGAAGGCCATAGATAGGCCTAAATAAAATATTTTTAATTGTGTACCAGTTTAACGTTGAATACTATTTATGATTTTAACTTTATACACAAGCACCAAAATAGTATAAGTTATACCGTTTTTAGAAGCCAACAATATGTATTCTTAACGTTTTAACGGAGTACAATGTGTTATAATACATTTAGAATTTTACAGTATACATTCATAATGTTTTAACACATTGAAAAAAGTTGCTCCAGGCTTAATAGTATGTTTTGATATTGTTTTAATACAATAAAACAAGTTGTACTACGTTCAGAATCATACAGTTTCTATACATAGTATTTTAACAAGTTGTTAAACGTTTAGAATCGTACAGTATGTATTCATAATTTTTATGAACAGTAAAAAAGTTTACCGCGTTTAGAATTAAACAAACATACCTGTAATGATTTAACACAGTAAAAACGTTTTACCAATTTTAGAAGCCAACAAACTGTATTCATAATGTTTTAAGACAGTACAACAGATTTGTACAACTGTTAGAATAACAAAATGAAACAAGTTCTACCATGTATATAAGCAAAAATGTGCAATTATGTAGTTTTAACACATTAAAACAAGTTGCACCATGTTGAAAATCTAACAAGATGTATTCATAATATTATAACACAGTAAAATAAAGTTCTACCAAGTTTATAAGCCGACAATATGTATTAATAATATAACATTGAACGAAGTTATACCAAATTTAGAATCTTAAAAATATCTATTCAAAACTTTTACAGCAATGTTATTATAACAAACTGCTTCAGGATGTATTCGTAACGTTTTAAAACAATAAAACAAGTTTATCCAGACTTGCTATCCAACAAGATATTCATTGTTTTAACACAGTGAAGGAAATTGTTCCAGGTAAAGAAGCCAACGAGATGTATTCATAGTGTTTTAGCACATAAAAAAAAGTTGTACCAGGTTTAGAATCGAACAATACGTATTCATAATGTCTCAACACAGTAAAACAAATTCTTCCGGGTAGAGAAGCCAACGAGATGTATTCTTAATGTTTTAGCACATAAAAAAAAAGTTGTACCAGGTTTAGAATCGAACAATACGTATTCATAATGTCTCAACACAGTAAAACAAATTCTTCCAGAATTACAATCCAACAGTATGTATTCATGGTTTTTAACAGAGGAAAATAAGTTGTACCAAATACACAATCCTACAGT